TATTCGATATCGATTGCTTGACTGCAGGACATTAATCTGGGCTGTCGTCTTCGAGTAGCAACATTTTCACAACATTGATGCAACTACTTGCGTAAAAAGAAATGTGTCGATTTGGCTCAAATGGTGACCAACTAACAAGGTGTTGTGTGAAACGTAAGTGGATGATCGACTTCGTAAAACCAGTCAAAAAAGACTTGCCTGCAAGCAGTCAGTTGAGTACTTCTCAGCTCATTACGAAAGATCAACCGCATTACAGCATGCCCATGACAAATGGATACGAAACTCACGTTGCCTCACATCAGCCAGCGATCTGTCAAACTACATGCGCTGTCCAAAACGGGTATTCCCAAAATAACAATGGAACCCCGACTTACAGCGTAGATCCGAGATCGCAATACCCGATCTCGGGACAGCAATCCAACTACGTGGTCAATGTATCCCCGGCTACTGAAACCGAATACGCGACTGCTCAATTGGTTTGCAGCACACAAAGTCTGCAGGAGTTTGTGGTGACGCAAGTTGGCTTATCAGATTACTCCAGTAGCCCCGTGGGCTTCAATCAAAACGGAACGCCGACTCCATCGACATGTAATGCCATGTTGGATTCAACGAGGCGAGGACGCCGTCAGAGAAAGTACATTGGTTAAAATTGTTAAGGCAGAATCTCTGCACTCCAAGCCTGTTGTCTGTTGTGAAACGAGTCAGCAGAACCGCTTCACGGCGGTGCAGTGTGCCTGTGACATGCGGATTTGAAACCCACCGTGGTTCTAACCGGCCAGCGGTCTGCAAATGGCATTCGCCATCCAAAAGGGGCATCGCCAGATTCACAATGGAGTGACGAACCATAGCGCAGATCCGAGATCGTAATGTTGATGCACCACGAGACCATCTGTACATGTCCATGACTCATCTGGAGGGAGAACAGGAGGAGCACATTTGCGGCAATGGCCAGACGACTGTCAACGTTCCGCAAGCACCGTCGCCTGAAGTAGCTGCAGCAGTGGAAGTCCATTTCTCTTAGGCTGTTGCAAACACGTGGTACTGCAGCTGCTTAACTTCCGGAACAGGCTACCAAGTTTTCAGCCTGTCTGTACACATTCGGCGGAAACTACTGAACCGTCGCCATTTGGTTTGCCAGAGGTGGCTCAGTTGCATTAACATTGCAATTCGCTGTTGTGGGCATGTTGTCATAGTTGCTGAGAGGCGCAGGCTGAGCGCCTGCAAGATTGCCATATGATGAGGTAGTTATGCTTACAAATGGCCAAGGTGTCGCCATTGGTGTAACATACGGCTGCAGGCCTGAGAAGCAGATTCAATCAGCTCACCGTATTCGAATGGGATAAAGTGAGTACTGACAGGAAGCAAAGTAAGTTGCTGTTGAGGCGGACAATTTCCTTGCTGGCAGAAACCAGCTTTCATCAGCTCCGCATCAATCAGATATGACATGGCAGAAGTAGATTGCAACGTTGATGTTCAATGAGACTGCATCGTCGATAAGCAATGTTGAGCAAAATAGTTGGGCAAGCACAACTGGATCTGCGCTACACCCGTCTGAAGTATCCATTCCACACCGCTAACGCTTTCGCACCACTACAAGACGCTCACATTGCTCGACGGATCTGTACTGTCCTCGTCAA